TATGTTCCTATTTGTTGTACAATATGTCGACAATTTAATCAGTACTCACGGATTCTGTGCCCTCGATACAATTTGCCAGAGGCAAGTTCTAAGTGTGAAATATGAAACCATTATTATTTCCTTCTGTTTTAATTCCAGTCAGTGTTTTAATAACAATAATGATAGTTTCTCACAATTATTAATGTTTGTCGACCCGGCGTACAATGTCATCAACAGTGGACATGTTGGCATTTGTTTGGAAGATAACTAGAAATTTGTTTTCTAACTGTCATCTGGGGATGCAATAATTCTGAATAATTCTCTCGTGTTTTGTGACACGAATCAAATGAGATTTAACAACAGGCTTACAACGGCCTCGTTTGAACGCTCGACAATTATCTGTGTTGTGTCACCGATCCAATCTTCTCCACCATATCCTCCTGGGACGCCCTTCACGATTATGTTACACGTCATATCGTAAACAATTTGTCAATTATACGTTTTGTTCACAATTCACAAGTTGATGTGCAATCAGCAATATTTATCATCGGTAATTAATGCTTAAGGATGACAAGGGTTGACATTTCTTTTCCTAAATTCCTAATTTTAGTGAAGCCGTATGGCTTTATGAAACGTAATATTGATGCAAAATTGCGTATGAAGACTCTTCCCTTCCCAAAAACACACATATATAAATATAAATGTAGTCATAAACATCCATTCCAAAATTGTATTGCCAATATGATGAAGACCCAGTGAGGACTATACAAGATCATGTAATTATTATTTATGAGAACGGGAAAACTTAACTAAGGGAACGCCCTTATAAGCTGTGTCAGTTTTCAGGATATTGCTAGTCTACTGTTTGCAGTTTTTTTCACCACACACGACATAACAAATAATACATATTGAACTTCCTATAACAGCTTTTAAGCCAGTATTGACACACTATAGCTAAACTTCTGTATTTCACTGTGTACGTTAGGGATATGCGGCGATTGCGTCTACCAGCATTTAGGACTTTTTTAGAGGTCGGAGCTCCGATTTCTGGTCAAATCATTCCTGATTACGTCACGTACATCAAACTCCAGGCTTCCATTTCTAGCTTTGGCGATCTCGGATTAAATGAACTACATGTAGAGGGGTAAGTAACGGCCGTGATTATATAGCACTTCGTCTACTAGGGTAAATATTTCGGTTTCATTTGGCATGATCAGTAAGTGTGTATGAGTAGAGCCCCTACTTTCATACATTGTACTAACGGGACGTCTGAGCGACAAGTCATACCTGGCCGGAAGTGAGTGGTCGTCTGTGACGTAAACAGATGTCTACGTGACCAAGAAGGCAGCTGAACGGAGACACCTAAGTATATCAGAAAATAAGCTATCGAACTACGCATACAGGACAAATTCTTCTCCCTCCAAGCTTAACCTATCCTGGTGCAAGATTTAATTGACAACAGAGAGAATAGTGGCAGCCCCGCCCCCTCCTCCTTCCCATGTCAACTTTCTGGAAGACTGGCATGATAGTAAAGCTACAGGAAAGAAGACCTGTCAAACTGCAATAACTGAAGAGGAATGATATTGCTGTCAGAAACCAGTCTCAAGTGATCCTCAACTGAATTTCAGCCATGACTACACAAAAAACAAACCAGATTTAGGAAGGGATGATCTGGTGCTGAACAGATAATCACCCTCTGACAAATAGTGGAAAAGAACATCAAATGAACCTGGTCAGTTTACATCAATGTCATTGACTTCACGAAGACATTTGTCACGATGATGCATCCCAGATAAAGTTCATCTCCACCATATTGATGCTGTGTGTTCTTGAATGCGAGAGTTATGTGTTGATTTATTCTAGCACTGAGAAAGTCAGCGAATTTGTCAGAATTTTCATTATCAACAGCCTCGGGTCCACCCAAATTAGTTCCAACCCTATATTAAGGATAGCCATTCCGACTATGTGTGTAGATAAACTATGTAAAAACAAGAGAATACCGACGTGTCAACAAAACCGAGAATACCGAAGTGTCAACAAAGCCACAATTCGAATTCAAAATTGAAATCGATACGAACTACAGAAAGAACTACTTAGGTACCATTCAAGAAGTACAAAGAAAATAGGACTAGGTGTTCTGGAAGGGTAAGCGTCTTCTGCTTCATCGACGACACCCATCAAGTGAATCTATGTCGAGCCCAAGTAATGTCACGTCCTCGCATCGAGATCTCGGATAGTGACAACAAAACCACAAGTCACACTAATGGGACTTAGAATGGTAGTGAGACGTTTGGATAATGGCTTGGTTGAGCATTTCTAATAGCCAGCGATAAAGGGGTGTTTATAAGGACTCGCACTCCTAAATCATTTACTATATGTTATTACTAAGATTTTAAGCTGATAGCGTTAATATTTGAAGTTCAACACTATTGACAACTGCCTAGATTCACAGATACATACATGACAAAGGCTTCAAAAGACATTTCTGGCGGGTTTGGTGGCTTATAAGAGCGCTACAGGCGTCTGCTTAGGGAAGTTAACAACCCCCCCCACCCCACCCCTGACATTTGACCCTATAACAATCCGCCATCACATATTAAAATCTACTAAAACTATACGTTTTTCCAAAGTTCAATATCTGTAAATTTCATTCACTATAAAATATGTCAACACTTACCTATTTAAACTACTCAGAGGCACTGTATTAAACCGGTACAAATTTTAGGTAGGAATTACAATCGTATGAAACACTTACTGATTGGCTGATTTAGTTGTGTGAGACCTAATAAAGAATCATGTGAAGTTCGTAACTCAGTATAAACGAGGCAAGTCAGTATCCTTATCGTTCGTCGGTATTCTAAAAGATTGCAATATACAATCGTGATAAATTTCAAAAAACGTAACGGTAGGGTTTCCTACCTTACAAGAAGGTGTAGTAGTGTTGACACAAAGATGGACCAATAACATGCTTTTTCTGCAGACACAACTACATACGATTAATACCATACCGACTACGTGTGTTGGTAGTATGTTTCTATACCTTTCCTGGTTATCTGTCGCCGAGGTCGTCATTATGTAGGTGTAGTGTCAATTTGACCTATTTCGTATATAATTATAGTCGCTGATTCAGAAATACGTGAGAAATTGAATGGAGGAAATTGATGATTTATCATGATAAACTGTTACAGCGTTAATTACATTGTCTGATCGGGTATTCTTCTCGTTGACCACACTTTGTAAAACGTTGTATTTCCAGGTTATTTATTTAACAGCGTTTCATTGCTGTTTTTTTTGTAATCCCCCAGTCAAGCGTTACCACATAAAAGTAAAGGGTTCGTCTTTCTACTAACGGATGATCAGCTATTCCACAGACTGGCAGCTACCGTTCCGAAATGTTCAGCATTCAGTATGGTGTTAGTAAAATGAATTATTGATTTGAATTATCATCTTTGTTGAAAGGCTCCTATTTCTATCTTTCGGCTTATTGTTCATATTAAATAGCGATTCCTTGTAATAACCATAACTCCATAGTGTTGTATGCTGGCCAAAACTTATTTCTTTTATCAATCAAACTGTCTACATTCCTTGGTTAATCACACTGTCTGCATATTTTAGCCCAGTTTTATCGATTTGGAGTTCAAGGAACGGTTTTATGGACACTTCAGGATTGTTTTCCTATTTATTTAAGGAAGGGGACTGCTACGTTTGTAATCCCTTCGACATTGAAAGTATTTCTGGTGTTATATTTATTTTTTTCACTTTCGTAAAAATGGAATAATTTTCTTTCTAAACTTCCCTACAGCTTTTGTTTTACATTTTCACGACCATACCGATACCTTTTGCGTTATGGCATGCTAGTCTGTCAACTACTCTGGCTTCTCCCAAATAGGTTGTCACGGTATTCCCTCCACACTGTCCATGGTTCCTTGTTCAGTGGTTTCGTTAATTACTGCTGCTGTTCATTATCAGCGGTTATCCTCCCTGCTTGTAAGGTTTATCACTCTTTCGCGCGGCGTAATTAGTTCTTAACAAAGACATCGAACCCCGACTCATTCTCTATTATTTCGTGCGTTATTAGGACTGAGGTCTTGTTTATCCGTTTGTATGCCACCTAGCTTAGAAGTTGTGTCCACATTAAATTCGTTACCGTTAGCTGTATAAACAGTGTCTAGGGTTTTGGTACTTCCGTCCTTACTTGCTTTTACTATAGTTTTTGTTTGACGAGTATATGGATATATGATATTAGAAATAGTAATATTCTGAATATCGATTTACGAAGTATCATTTGATACAGTATCTCTGACGTCATATTTAATGTCCGATATCACCTTTTAGACAAGATATTCTCCCCCACTTTACAGGTGTATAACCGTTTTCGCTAGAGAAAAAGATAAAGCTGTCTATACATACATTGAGTAAAGACAGCCCGCAGTGCTGTTATTCTGGAAATGTCTTCTTCTCGTCACTATTCCGACATCACTTCATGCAGCGTATTCATAGTAACTTGCCCCATGTTCCATGCGCTTTTAATGATGGTAAGGTGCACTGGACTCACAAGTATTTTTTTACGATAGGAAAGTGTTGAAGAAAAATAAAGAGAAATTTCAACTCTCAGGATTGGATTTTTACATACTCAAAAACTCGTATTACCGAGTAAATATTTCTCTGTCTACACTGGAGGGAAAACTGCTATTAACCTTTTCATTAATCATTCCCTGCATTCCAGAGTCTATTCCGTCTGTAATATTCTGCAAAGTAGACAAAATGTCTTTCGGTCTGGCTCTTATTTCAGCTACCGACACCCCCATGTTCCTGAGTGAGGGGGGAATCTTGTTACGTGGTTTACAGGTTCAGAGAAAAGTTCTGTTGAATGACTTTGTACATACCGCGCAAGTTGTTGGTATGTATCTATAAACCATATATACTGAATACGTATATTATTTTATAGTGTAAATGTAAACATTAATATCGTACTGATGACTTGTATTCTTAGAACTACAATCAAAGTAAAACACCATAATGCGAAGAAACAAAATATTCTTTTATTCAGAATCATTAACTTTACATGAGATTTGGACCAGTCTGTCAGAGACAGATCATAACTATGTTTCATCTAATGAATTTACGTGTTAAATAGTATCCCTCTCTGTTTTTATTTCCATATCAAGATGTACATTGCACACTTTGCGAAAATCTATGAAAATTATTCTGTCTATAATATAATTGCTTAAAAAATCCCCACACTGCGATTTTATTACAGTTTTGAGCGTTATAACATCTTCAAACCAAATCTTCAGTCTAAAATTGATGTGTTCACGTTTCATGAATTCCTAATAACATAGGCATTTCACAGCTTTATCATTTGTTGTAAATGACTATAATCTAAAGTTCCTTAATGTTTAAGCTTAGCTTCTTTACATGTTTGTCACATGCAGTTGGAGTATACAGTAAAGCTATCGTTAGGGTGACCACACTGATACCAGGTGTCCACAGGGACAAGACATAGTTCTCCTGACAGGACACAGGACGAAAGCCACGGACAACATCGGACCGGAAACAAGAGTTAGCAACACTAGTATCTACCCTTCAACACCAGCAGTAAAATATTGGTCACCAAAATACAATTCCTAGTAAATGCTCTTACACCATCTCAACACAATTCACATGTCTTTTTAGAGTTACTTCTAACAATAATATCCCAGGGGTTCTTTTTCTACTAATACAGTGTTAGGCCACGGAACACATTTTAAATATTGTTTAGTTTTTGTTGGTGCCAACTTATCATTTTTAGCCGGAGAGATCGAAGCACTATGCCGTCATCCATATTCGGGGGTCACGTGTAAAATGAGCTTTGTAATAATGTCAATAATGTAATTTGGGTAGCAGTGTATGTGATATCCGCCCAAAACAACCTCCCTATTAACATCCTACCCAACAAAGGTCTCTAGAGGACCACCCACACTGTTGTTTAACCAATAAGAATAAATCTATATAGAATAAATATTATTTAATAATAAATATCTAAATATTAACATGAACGAGTATAACAAAACGATGCCACAAGAATGCAACAGAGGCTATAACGACTACTGTTAATGCGTTACACGTCACACATCTCTCGTCCAATCAAGCTGCCGCACAAGGGAGACACGCCATCACGTGACACAGATAAAAAGTCTGGCTCTAAATATTCTACGTTTGTGTTTTTGTCTTAAAGCAACATTTATGTTGATTACTCATTTCAAAAGTGAAAAGAGAAAAAAATAAGGATGTTTAACAAATTGCTGCATCATATACTGCGCAGTAAAACAAAGTGTTCCGATATATTGTTGAAACGACCGCGTACGATTGATTCTGGTCTAGACAGTGAAATGTCGATATTTTTGCATCAAATGATTGCTTAAAGATGACGAGACAAATAAGCGGAACTCTTCCTGTATAAACAAAGCCGTTCTATGGCCATCTATTTGTAGGCGCTGCGCTGTATGTCTAATCACTTATCGCTACACGGAGCGTTAGGGACTTTCCGCCCAGTATACGTTATTAGATTTACAATGTCGCCGACGGAAACTGTCGCCGTCCGATGGAAATCCTCCTCCTAAGACCGTAATCACACCGAACCTCTCCGAGAGAGTATCAACCAAAATTCAGTAAATTCCAAGCTTTCATAATATATTGATTTTATGTCTTAGCTTGTCGACGACATTAGTCAGATCGGTGTAGGCTGAGGAACGTTCCCCTGGCCCTTGGGAATAGATAATGATACGCGATAGTAGTTTTTATTACGTAACATTTACACCAGTTGTCCAAATCGCTATTCTCGATCGAGCACGCATGGGCATCCTGCGAAAGGTCGACAAATGGTGGAATCCTGAGTTTATACGCTGGTGATGTTTCAGTTGCAGGTTAACTTACTTCTACTGTTTTAATGTTGTATCCTAAGTGACAGACTAGTGGATTCCTCAGTGACATACTAGTGTATCCTCAGTGACAGACTAGTGTATTCCTAAGTGACAGACTAGTCGATTCCTCAGTGACAGACTAGTGTATCCTAAGTGACATACTAGTGTATCCTCAGTGACAGACTAGTGTATACTAAGTGACATACTAGTGTATCCTAAGTGACAGACTAGTGTATACTAAGTGACATACTAGTGTATCCTAAGTGACAGACTAGTGTATCCTAAGTGACATACTAGTGTATCCTCAGTGACAGACTAGTGTATACTAAGTGACAGACTAGTGTATTCTATATATACCCGTGAAGCTTGAGTGTACATTTGTATGTGTTAGTGAAGTTTTAGTTTGTTTTATTCGTTTTTCAAGATTTAATATATTATATTTTCGCCAGTAAAGTTTAACCAAAGTATCTTATTTTCTTATAAAGCTTAAGTATACTTTTTTAAATGTTGTTTAGTGTACTGTTTTATTCGTTTGTGATTTTTTGGTATACTTTTATATCGCTAGTGCTGTTTTCGCATTCTGTTATATTCGTTTGTGATATTTTGGTATACTTTTATATTCGCAGTTAAGTTTAATTATACATGTACAGTTATATCTGTTACTGAATTTTTTTAGTTTATTCTTTTACTCACTAGTTATGTTTAAATAAAATACAAAAATGTAAGTATCTTTAACATACTTCCAATTTAACCGACAATATAATCGGTAATGTCGGAGTGACTTAAAGCTAGTCTGGGCGCACCTAACCGTCCTTACAGATACATCAGGGCGTTTGTTCCACCAGGTTCATCCACGTCCTTTTTATTTCTTTTTATTTAGACAATTCATTTGATCCTATCCGTTGACCAATCGATCTTTACGAGCCGTTGTCTGACAGCCAATGGACGTGTGATTATACGCCGTGACATACCATATGGCTTGAAGGGGCTTACTGGCAGATTGTGTCTCCGTGTCACTACGTGTTAACCACACTGTGTGGTGGCACCCTCTGTCCAGACAGTTTAACAGAAGACGACTGCTCGCCTCACGTCGTGTTTACCCGCGTGTCAAATCACCTAATCTTTATGTAGCTCATTCTGATCCCCTCATAATTATTGTCTTTTGGATTTTCTCATAATAAACATCGGTGGAGTGAATTACATCTGGATATCGCAATTGGTTTAACTTGTCTTAGAAAGAGGATCAACATCTTAGAGAGAAAATATATAATTACAATGAATTTACTGAGGTTGCCGACATATCGGACAATAAACCAAGGATGCTGCTGTGACAATGCCCAGGCGAATATGTATAAAAAAACCAGTCTTCACCTACTACAAAGCGAATGCAGAAGAGCATTTTGCCACAAGCATACTCATAGAAAACAAAATAAAATCTTATGTTTGAAATCAACGGAAAAGGCATATGTATATACTTTGTAATAGTTAAAATAACAAGGCGATATCTAATATTGTATCTATAATGTGTATTCGATCATTTGTCAGTATATTTACATACCTAGTGGGTTATTGTGGCCTCAGGTGACCTTAGATTTGTTTATCAAGTCTAATCAAGTCATAGCAATTGTAAAGGTGTTGTATCAGCCATTTATATCGTAAATGTATTCTTTGAATTTTTACTAATTAAACCGAGCAGAACTACCTAATACATATCTTTGTCTACCTCACCCAGACAATACAACTTACCACCGTTGTTTGCTCTCTCCCCTCTCTAAACCAGATAAAACCATTTATATGTTAGTCTCATTCTCCCCTATACCAGCGAAGAGAATACCAGTTACATATGCATGTTTTCTTTTCCAATTCGTATGGAAATAAAAAATATTATACCTAGAATACCGAATCTGAATTGTTTACGTATAAAGAATAGGTTTTAGTGATGTTTAGAATGTTGAAAACCGGCTAATAGCAAAGGTTTATAACCGTGGGATATTTTTCTGAACCAGACATACTTGTTTTATCACAATGATTATAGTACATTGTACTGGAATGTATTCCGTAAATCGCTAGCCGAAATATGTAAAGCATTGGTTCTATTGTGGTCGTGTTGACATACGGGAATGTGATCAATGGGATATATTTAGTTGTTTTTTTTAAATTAAAACATGACCGGTATAAACAGTGCGGCCGAGGACAGTCTTGGATATGTGTGGTAGACAACATAACGGTATATATATTTATATCACTTTCTGCCCTCTCACACACTCTCTCAACCTAGAAATAATAATTGTCAATTGTCAACTAAGAAATTTTCGTTTGCCCTTAGTTATCATATAATCACATGCATTGTGCAAACCCAAGTAAGTAGCAATATCTGATCTTCTTCTTATCTATTAAATAATAACATGTCTACACAATAATGTTTCGATTTGTTTTGCCCACAACTCGCGAAAGTGTGTAAATGATGAACACAAGATGGGCTCACCTACAACTGACATGTGTTAACATATCGGACATCCTAAACTGATCTCAGACAAAAATAAATTCTCAAAAACCTCATGTAACTGGAAAATACATTTCTTACGTCCCGTTAATAGTTGAATTTCATTTTTTTGTACAAAATATCTATGTCATGTTTCTTTTTTTAGTTCTTTTTTTTCTATTCAAAGACGGCTGGCTTCCGTGTTTGGAATGGTCATCTTCAGTGACGTCAGACGTTGAGTCCTCCTTCCCTGAATTTGTCGAGCATGTAGCTGACGTCATACCACTCTTCGTCTGGCATTCCCATCTTCCGCAAGGGTCGCTCGTCACCATCCAGCACTGCTAAAAACGCCTCGTGAAGATTGTCCGCAGCGTCCTCGCCCATCCCCACCATCAACTTCAAATCTTCCAGGTCTGATGCAACTGTATAACATGCAAGTAAGTGATTCATGTTTAAAACATGCTTCCATTTGAGCAATGAATGTCGTTATTTCGTATTGTATTTTACCAATAGTAGCTCTGAATTAATAAAAATATTTAAACGCACGGAAAAAAGAATCGCAAATGAACGAAAATATCCCAAGGCATTTCCAATATAAAATAGTTTTATTGCTTTTAGTTTCAAATGGTAACGAAATTAAGTCATGTTCGAAATATATCTGGGGAAGCGTGAGGATAACTTTTTGCATGAAACCTGTGGTTCTAACAATAGTTCAGCGACTAGTAGCTCATAGGTTGTTCGTATTCCTCGTTGAACAAATAAAGAATTAAAATTAACAATAGCTCTGTTTTTTTTTACAAACGTTTCTAAAATGAACTTCGTTATCGAACATGACGAAACCTAAACGAATGGTCATTCTACCATATCCTGCGCAATTGACATACATCACAAAATGAGGAATCAGTGTTTCTTTACTTCAACATCAGCAATTCCTACATGGAACACTGTAAGGAAGCAGCGATTTGGGAAAGTACACTCAGCTATAGCTTTACACGAGTTTGCCTTCTTTTTTATAGGACAAACATACGAAAAACATTTCTGCTATTGCTTAAATAAACTCATGATTTTTCTCATAAATAAATTTGCATCTTAAGTCGAACAGAAATGCCTGACAAAGCAATGTCATGAAGTGTTCATAAGCTACAAAACTATTCAGAGCTCAGTTGGATTTAGTTTATGTATTAGATTCTTGGGTTACATGCGAATAGCGCAAGACCCCTGATACAATACATCGTATCATAATCATTTGCTATACAAAACAGTATTTCAAAACCACTTAACATGTAAAAAGGTTATAATAAACAATTAAAAAACATCAAATCCGTACAATCCCTTGATCATGTTAAATGGATTTTATCTCCGGATGGAGTCATCGTATGTACAGGGAGACTATATTTTGATATTTTAATACAAGTCATCAAACACATCAAGAAAAATAAAACTACTTTAGGACCGTATATTCGGGATGAAGAGAGGAACAAGAGCTGGAAGGTCAGCAGATTTAGCTCAATGATACTTACCAGCCAGACTGTGAGCTACTAGTTCTGGGTCTGCTCCGTCAAAAAGTTTTGGAATAATCCATTTTTCGTTCTTTATCAGAAAATCTTCTATTTCTTCTACGGAGGGTCTGTTTTCTGCAAAGTATTTTTTTAGTAAGGTAAGTCTTTATTGTGAAAAAATTCAAATTGCTCTTATGCTGCAATAAAAAGAACAAACAATAATTTAAAAAAATTGTCAGGATATTTCTTTAAAATCAACTAATCGAGACAAGCAACCGTCGTGACAGTCATGTAAACAGAGATGAAATTCTGAATCCTTCCTCAAACGACTATTGTTTAATATAACAGAGGTTTGCCATATCGACAAATATGTCAGCACTTTAACACAGCATTATGAAATAAAATGAAATGTAAGATATTTGTATCCAATTTTGCAACATAAGTTATCTTCTGTACGCCATTATAAGACCGACATGGATTTGTAGGAGCTATGTTTCGCTATCACTACACCGTTTGTTTTCAATCAATAAAGTCTTGGAATTCAGACGCGTAATAATTTCAATATATCAGCCACGCTCTACTGGCTGGTAATGGAGTAGTCAAAGTTTCATTGATTTTCTCTAGAATATACACTGGTTTTCATCATATGCACTTTCCTCCAAGGGCTGTTTGTGAGAGTATGACGAATTTGAATAGTAATTAAAATTGTATATCGTCAAAAAACAATCTCACAAACATATTTTGTTTAGATCGAGAATATTGTAATAAAATCTTTAAAAGTAAAATTTATACATATATCATATATAGTTCAATACTGCAAAGCGAAACAAAATTACAATTACTGCTTACAGGTAATTTAGTTGTGTAAAAACTTCATACATTTCTCAGATTTATAAAATTACTTTTAACATAATGTAAAAATGAACCATCGTCCGCACGCAATTATAACATATCAACTCAGAGTCGATAGTGTTTTTCTGTTTTTCTGTTTAAAGAATAGAGTTATATGTATCATCAAAATAAAGACATAAACTATCCTATACTATTTTTCTATTCAAAATTATATGACATAATTCGTGACCTTAACTACATCGCCGGTGTGTGAAAATCACAAATTTTGATTCATCTTATCATACAATACTCAGGAAACCGAAACTAACATTTATTTACGCTGATATCTATTTCTGCGATATATTTTTTTTCATTCCACATATTAACATGAACATAGACGGAAAACTAAAGCGGATTGTTTTTTCTAGTTCAGCGAGAATTTTAGCACATGAAAACAATGACATCATTGATTGTAACAAGCAATGCCGACGCAAATATTTCCATTCCGCGAATAGTCCTAGTTGTGAAAACACGTCGATGTCCACTTTTACTGAATCATATAATGTATACGTAACACTGCATGCTTACTAATGCTGATATTAGTAGTGTGGTAAAGAAAATAAAACAAATTCTTATGTTTACAACGTCTCAAACCTGCTATACAGTGGCAGTCATGTTATCATGTACTTACTTGCGTTGCATAAAAGAGGGTTTTCGTCGAAGCCCTCTGGGCAGTCCCGGACGTGGTTACAGATATACTCCAGGGGTATACATGCTCCCGCCGTTTTGCATAAAAACGGCTTGTCAGGGGGACAACTGTTTGCTACAAAATAATAAAAAGACAACTCAAATGAACAAGTAATGAAAAATTCTTTGAAGGTATTGCATGTAGTTCTGTATGGAGTGAGACTTTAATCAATGAGTTACGTATAGTCTAATTGTTCTGCTCGGCTCCTTTTTAAAACACAATGAGATATGCTTTAAAATATTTTGTTAAGTAGATAGGACACTGTGTGTTATAGATAAAATGCGTTAGAGCGTACGTGACAATACTATCTTGATTCAGCACCATTCGATCGATATGTCTCGTATCAATGATGAACATATACCTGTCCAAATGCGGTATTGTTTTGGATTTGAACTCACTTGAGAAATTGCTACAATCTATATCTAAATATATATCGAAACCCTGATGTGTGAGTATGACATTACATTCTGATATATGAGACGGAAGTAGTTAAATAATGTTCTACTTAGGGATAGTACGATGTTTTCAGTGGCTATACTGGCGATTAGAACATGAAATATGGTTTGAACTCGAGACCGCCAGGTCGATAGTTTAAACCATATTTCATGTTCTAATCGCAAGTATAGACACGAAAAACAACGTACTATACCCATTCCATCACACCTTAACAAATATACTGCGCTAATGTTGTAATTCCTGTGCATTGTAATTTCTTGCTACACGTTCGTAGTAAAGATCTCTGTGCACTGTGCTGGCGACGTGCCATTCTGAAGCGGACTAATGTGAAATGTTTCATTTGATTTCGGATCTAATTAGATGCCTACACACAAATGGAACGATTTTTCAGTAATAAATGGAGGTAAGAACAAGAAATGTTTACTTTTGATTTGTTCATTTATTCAGCAAATACATTTCATCGTCCCTATCAGTAGGAGTTTGCTAAGAGCGAGCTTGACGCCATTTTGTTTTGTTTAGAAACGGGACGTGGCTTAAGTGCGATTGGAGGATCTTAACACGATTGATCATTATTCTATCGTAGATTAAAACATGGTCTGTATCCAATTAAAACATGCGTTGCAAACGAACTGCGTTAGAATTCCTTGTAAGAAAGGGCGTTTCTAGATACAATATGTACTTAAAAATAAGAAGATATATATCAAGTGGTCATGACGAACTTGGTTGGTTCACTTATTTGTAACCGTCGATATAAATATATATATACATACCGGGAAATATATATACCGCCTTTTTTGTTCTACGTGATAAGGGCGAATTCATCATTACAGAGACTATAATTAAACAACATAATATACGTATTAATTAAATGTGAAATGCAAAATTAACGCCCGGCAAAAAGGCCAATAGTTTGATTGGGCGAAAACTTCCCGGTATACAGTACTGTCTCGTTATTTATAACATAGTCCAACATGTCTCTTCTGTGTTGCTTGTGGTTGGAATGTTTTATTTCGACTAAGCTACAAAGAGGTGGATGCGTAAACAATTGAACTGTGAGCAATTAGATTCCACTGAACCCCACCGTTCACGACTGAAATATATCTGTTCTTTGCTCTGTGGTGCCAACCGTCTTATTGTTAACGTCCTGGTGCACAAGCTGACGTCAGCAAACAACAACGTGTATACAATGTTAAAATGTTTTATAAAGACGCAAACCTATCGGGAGCAGCACTGAATTAAGACAAATTTAGAATTTAACCCAAAACACACACACAATGTAGGAATGAGGATCCCCTTCACTTACTATTAGAATATTCATGAGAGGCTGGCATAGTACGTAATACTTGTGGAATACATAACAGTGTGATATAGATACGAGTAATTCATTACCAACTCTTAGCGACGAACCAAAACGCGGCAGTCTCTATTTATACTAAAAGTAAGTTGGTCTCATTAAAATACTAACGTTCATTAAGATAATCCACGGTGCACAAATCGAAGCCGATACGGGTTTCAAGGGCTTGCACAAAACAGTATGATATTAGTGATAGGTAGCGACTGGTGAAGAATAGATTTTCAGTACAAGGTGTTGAGTAATGCACGTTGATGACCGCTTTTGGCAAGTTTATGTTCGCCATCACGTTCTCCTTGCCAAACTATATTGTTTCATTTATCTCATTCGTGTGCTTTTTCGTTGTCATTACCCCAATTCTCATTTTTTGGACACCCCAATACTTGAATCGTCCGTGAAATAGGAGACGCTTATCCCTGCAGAGCAAACAGTTGAGTTCATTTCCTTCGTACTCTGTACATGGTATAATGCCGTAGTTTTATCGACTTGGAGATACGGCTTTGTGCCATTTCAGTAATCACTTGTTTTTAGGTATTATTTTGAGATTAGTCTATTGTATATGCATTTGGTATTTAACGTTATTCTTCCTTTATATTTCATGCTAGACCTCATCGTCTCAGTCTACGCATACCATTTTCGCACTAACAATAAGTCTATGCATTTGATTGACAAATGCACCATGTATCTGGTGTTACATCACATCTTTAGTTTATGTCCATATCTGTGAGATCAATGCCCTCAAAATAGAATATAAAGATGTGTACTTAATACATCGCTTCATATGTTTCCATGGGAGTTGTCGTAACTCGTAAACAAAGCGTAGACGTACAACAAAGGAAACATGGTAGACATCATTCATGTAAACAAATCGACATCAAATCAAACTCCAAGACAAGGAGCTCATATCAGTCAAAGAAACTTTCTGCCTGGCAAACCTTCAAAAGCTTAATTGGCCTGTGTTCTGGTGTCCGTACATACACTACTGTCTTTGGAAATGAGGCGAGGTAGTACGTCCTTGGCGTCTACATCAGAAATAATTTTCATGTAGGCGCCATAGCCAATTCTGTGTACACCGAGGCACGTGAACCAATGCAAACTAGGTATAATGTTCTGCTATCTCATAAAGAATAAAAAACACCTAATTCCTCATGGGATGAACTGCATAAATAGGATGTCCCTTGTCGTAAATAGCTCTGTATTTAACTTGTCGCCAAAGGCAAATAGTGTTACAAAACTTTCAGTGAGAATTTGACAGTCATTAGACGCGCTGCCCTTACCACTAAAACTACTGCATCTCAGCAGAAATCAACGGGGGAAATGTTCTTGTAGTGTTATATCTCAATCGACCCTTTTGGATTGTCTCATTAGTATCGGCTACCTGGGACAAAGAGGAGGGAAAGGCCGTCTTATAGATTAACCACTTTAATGATGCACGCGAGGATGAAAATGTAGGAAAAGAAAGCAGGGGGGAAATCAGTCACCTTAACAATTTATGTTTATGTATCCAAACGTCCCCGAACATTACACTAGAAAAGGATAAAAGTGTGATATAGTTTTAAAATCGCTCACGTCCAGAACGAGGTGTAACCCAAATACAGGACTTGCTGGAAATAGAATGTCACCTAGTCAATGTTATCAGCGCATGCGTTGTTTGAACTTGAACTAGGAAATCCAGAATCATTTCTTCCATAGAAGAGGACATTCAGGAACTCCTTGTTTTACTTGTCCTAACATTGTGTTACTGTCTCGAATTCTGCAGTCTATATGTAGTATTCATCTTGTCCTAACATTGTGTCACTGTCTCGAATTCTGCAGCCTAATTGAAGTATCCATATTGTCTTAACATTGTGTTACTGTCTCGAATTCTGCAGTCTATATGTAGTATTCATCTTGTCCTAACATTGTCCTAAGATTATATACACGTTGCTACCTGCTCTTTTTTAAAAAGGGAACGAGTACTAAATAATACAGAGTCCTACACAATAATACACTAAATCAACTATAACTAATATAGCAATAATATACACGTTGGGAAATACAATATAGGGGACTGTAATTATCCAAAAATTGGCATGCTGTGTTTTCCTGCTATGACGCAATATTTTATAGTCAAATAAATATTGCGGGGCGATTGATTGGCCAGTTTGAATAAAGATATATAAATAAATGAGAGATAGATAATGTCTAAGGTGGAATGTTGATATAAATAGAAGTTTTCATTTCAGATAAACTTTGAAATGAATTTGCTGCCAGATGTTCCGCTGTGTCTACTTGAATCAGTCAAATTCTCTGTATTTTATTATTAAGTGATGTAGTATATATAAACATTGTGTGTATGCAAAGTACATACAGTGTAAAAAACATTATCACGTGATCACATTCTGTGAAGCAACTCCTTCAATAAATCCATTTCTGCACAGATTAATCAGTGTAATTTAAATAATGCCGAGTTTGATATAGGTTTTTCCAGTTAGGTTGGTTGCTGTCCTTGTGATTTTTAACAGTGCATTATTACAATACAATAGTGAAATCTAGCTAAATATTGACAGTAAATTTGTGTGTCTATATATATGTCTCCAATTCCAAACCCCCATTTTCCTATTGCCCATAACATCATACAGTTTCCTGTTAAAGGAGTGTAGATAAATAATCTTTGTTTGATTTAAAACACATGAGCTATATTCATCATTATTTTGCACGCCCTATATTTTTGTGAATCAATGCACCATCATGCTATAACTAGTTCTTATATTCAAGTGTTTCACAAAGGAACAAAAATAGACGATAAAATGTTGATGCAAATAAAAACACGTTTTCAGAGGTGGTTGCTAGGTTAGTGCTGTAGTTACTTGTGCCATATTGATCGCTTACTTGTGTTGCAGTGCAATTGCACTCAAAGATCAAGCCAGAACGGCCATTTAAAGGACTAGTTATGTAAAGAATAATGCTTGCAATATATTTGATAGAAAACAATATCGTTCGCTCTCCATACCGGGATCATCAAATATGATAATTTTGTACGAGTCCGCATTTTGAATTTGATTTAAACATATCTATTGCCCCAATTTTGAGCAGAGTATTAGGCACACGTTATATCAACTTATCAACGCATTTCCCTCTAATACAATACATATTGATATTTACATGATAGCATTTAACAAGGCATACATGCTATATTTCACAATGATTATATTTTACTTAAAACCTGTTGCTGGATTTGATGAAAAGTTGCATGTGTCTGAATACTTCTGTATTGGTATCTACGGAC